TGTGTGGTCATATGTTCAGTCTGCCCCCTCCACTAGTAAGGCCCACGAGGGCAGCAACTATGTCTATATTATATACTAGTGAATCCCCAGTGCCTAGCACCAGCTGCAACATAATAACAACTATGAAGAAAAATACATATTGTTGCATCCTGAGGCTAGATGTTGGCATGAATCAGTGGAGCAAGACAAAATGAGGGGGTGGAGGGAGGGAACTGGAGCACATGGCACAAAGAGAACTACCAGGGCCCATGTGGTTGCCAGACTTGCATTTGGATCTCATTTCCAGTCTGGACTGCCCCTGTGACACAAGCTTTCCACTTGGACCTGGACATATTCACAACACAAGATTGGCAGTAAATGCTTCAAAATGCTAGTATTGTTTTAAAGCAGTAGACTGTTTTCCGCATTTTTCTGTAATGTGGTTAGAAAATTTTAAATAATTTTTAAAGATCCTCACACATATTATTGTCTATGATTTTATGGCATGACACATTTTCAATTGGAGCAAACTTCAGGTTGCTGTGGTAAAGGCATTGGCCAATTGATGAAACCATCTCCTATGCAGAGTGCCCTGCCCAACCTCACACAGCCTGTGTGATTTCTGTCCCCCAAAGAACAGGGCATCAGGTGTCACTAATTCCTACCCTCACTCCCCTCCCAATCTGCTCAGCAGGCACATCTGCTGTTACAGAAGTGCCTGGATTGATCCAGTAGGCTTTAGTGATGCTGGCTGATGCGCAACTATAGAGTCACACAAATTGCAACCAAATAGAGCCAAACCACAAAATATCTAACCAATGCTGGCCAAGGGCCACCTCCGACCTAACACACCAGCTAAACAAATGAGTCTCCTGTCTGATAGGAGAGATCAGTAACAAGGCTAGATAGCGAGAAATATCAATTTTCTTTGCAACTAGGCACCTACTAGCACTCAATCACCATTGGTCCATTCCATGTCTCTCTGTTATATTTTTTTCCTGCCACCTTTATTTCCACCTCTCCTCCTCCCATAGGCAATCATTCTACTGTTAAATGTCTTGTTTTATGTGCATGTTTTTAATTTATGCAAATTGTATTGTTCTGTATTTCATTTTGTTTCTTGCTTTTTTCCACTAAGTAATATATTTGCTCAGATCCATCCATGTTGCCATGTGTACACCTAATTTGTTGCTTTTAAGTGCTACATAATAATCCATGGTGTGGATCCATTAGATTTTATCTAACCATCTTTTCATTGATAGATATTCAGCTTGCCTCCAATTCCAAAACAGCACTGCAACGAGCAGCCCTGTACACATTCCCTTAAGTGCCTGTGTGAAAATTTCTTCAAGATATATATTCTGGAGGGAATTGTGAGGTTGCAGGATATATGTATACTTAGTTTGGCTAAATAGTACCAGATTACTCTTGACACAATGGCTGTATAGCTCCTCTATCCCAGGGGTTCTCAACCTTGGCACTATTGACATTTTAGACCAGATTATTCTCTGTTGTGAGGGGCTGTCCTGTGCACTGTAGGATGTTTGGCAGTATCTCTGGCTTCTACCCACAAGTTTCCAACAGCATTCCCTCAGTTGTGATGACAAAAACTATCTCCCAACACCACCAAATGTCCCTGGGGCGGGGAGGGGGGCCAAAATCACCCCCAGTTGAGAACCACTGTGCATCCTATCTCTATCAACACTTGGCATTATCTAGTTATTTTTTTTCTCTGATTACCAATTATTTTAAGCACCTTTTCACATGCTTGACAGTTTTTAAGGATTTTCTCTAATGTCAATTCTCTGTTGAGGTTGCTGGCTTCTTTTTGTTGATGTGTGGGAGTTCCCTATATATTCTTGATACCTGTCCTTTATTGGAATTGACACAGCAAATATCTTCTCCTATCCTTTCAACTAATTAACTCTATCCATAGTGTACTTCACTGATGGAAATACTAAATTTTCATGTATGAGATGCATCAATATTTTGCTTTATGGTTTGTACTTTTGAACTTTTATTGAAGTCCTTTCTTGACCTAGGTCACAAGATATGTCTCTCTATTAGCTTTATACTTTTGCCATTTACAATTTGGTCTTGAATCCATATGGAGCCCACCTTCTATGTAGTGTTGGGTCGGAATCCATGTTTATCTCTTTCCACATAGTGAAGCCTCCTTCCTCTGCCAGGTTGTCGTATCGCTTTGATTGTAAACTAAGTTCCCCTATATACAAGGTTTATCCCTGAGCTCTCCATTCTGTTTCACTGATCTAACCGCCTGTCCCTGCACCAATACGCACAACTGTATCTCTATGGCCTTGTAACATGTTTTCATAACTGACAGAGCAAGGCCCCCTTATTCTTCAGTGAACGATTATTCTCCAATTTAGTGTAAATTTGTCAAATTTCTCAAAATATCCAATGGCAATTTTTGTTGAGGTTGCGCTAATTTTATAATTATGACTTGGGGAAAATTAACTTTTTAATAATATTAAGTTCTCCCACCCAGGATTACTCAGATCTTCTACGACTTCTATTTTCTCTTTATAGTTTTCTTTAGTCTTTGTATAGTTGTTGAAGTATACAACTGGACACTTTATATTCCTGGACACTTTATATTTCTGGTTGCCATTATGAGTTGGTATCTTTTTATGTAATTTTCTAGTTGGTATTGCTGGTCTTGATTTTTAAGTTGATCTTATGTCCAGAATTGCTCACTTGTTTTCTGCCTGAGTTTGGGGGTGTTCAGAATTACTGATTTGCTCTTAGGGTGCTCCCCTCTTGGTATCAAGGCACCTGGAAAGCTGATAAGTTCATTAGAAGACTGCATGTAAGCATGGGATCAGACCAAAGAGATTGCTAGAAAAGCCCCATGAATACCCCCACTCAAAAAGAGAGAGCATTCTTGCCCCCTAGATTCAACGTCTTGCCTCCCGGCTGCAAAGTGCTGACACATTTGGGTGTATTTTGTCTCTAAGTTATTGGTTTCCCTCTTGAATAGAAACACTTTTTGTTTTTTAATATCTTAGTGCCACATACTGGGCTGCCATAAAAGTTGCCAAACCTACGGGCTTGGGAGCTATTTTGCCTCCTCTCATAAGGTGTAAATGTAATAACCCAACACTTGCTGGCCTACAAACTTCATCACTATTGTTGTATACCCATAAGCCAGCAAGTACCATCACTTGCTCACCCAGAAATCTTTGGTCCCCAAGGCAGCACCCCCACTGTGCATGACAGTAAGTTAGAAGTCTGTCAACCTGAATCACCATTTTCTTGAAGGGCATTAGTTTTAAAACCTTATTTGATATGGAAACTTGACATCTAAAAATTCTCCTCAGTCTATAGTTGGTAACTAACTACCTACACATTAATGCAGGGAATAAGACTGACTGGCCATGCTTAATTTTGTTATTCTTCCAAAGAAAATCAGCTCCAACCAGATTCAAGGTGCAAACTTTCCGGGAGATAGCATCTGCTCTCTGAGCCAGTCACTAGATGCGATAAGCCTGTCTTTGGAAAGACTTGTGGCTTCCATGCCACCTGAGGGCTGGACAAGAGCCCTCCAGAATGCAGCCCATCCCTCTGCTTCCCCCTAACCTGCAGGGGAGACCCAGTCAGGGCTGTGCAAAGTGGGTTTTCTGAAGGGGTTTCAAGCTGGCTTTAACTGGTATGAATCTTTTTCTCTTCTGTGTTCGACAGCAATCATCCTAACAGGCTTCCTGACTTCACTAGAGGCCCAAAACAGACACATCTAGCATATTTTAAATGGCTTTATTAAAGGCTATTAATATAAAATACAACCAAGTTACAAGTAGTCGGTAAGAATTTTCCTTTCTGAAAACGTGTATGAAAGAAAGGGAGGCGCAAAGAAGGGGAGGCCGCCCTGACATCCACGTGGGGTGCAGCACGGGCTGTGACAAAGCCCTGCTATGCCCAAAGTAGGCAGCACTCCCAAACCCAGAGGGCGGGGGAAGGGACCCCCAGGCGAAAGAACTGAGACTGGTTTCTGACTTCTTGGGAAAGATTTTACAAAATACAGTCACCCACAGCAAGACTGAATCCTTGAGCTGAATCCCAGGTGCAGAGGAGAGGGTGGGGATCCAAAACCACATACAGGCTTCAGCTAAAAAGTGTGCATTTTAAAAATCATAAATACGGGGCCGGCCCAGTGGCGCAAGTGGTTAAGTGCGCGCGCTCCGCTGTGGCGGCCCGGGGTTCACCGGTTTGGATCCCGGGCGGGCACCGACGCACCGCTTGTCAGGCCATGCTGTGGCGGCGTCCCATATAAAGTGGAGGAAGATGGGCACGGATGTTGGCCCAGGGCCAGTCTTTCTCAGCAAAAAGAGGAGGATTGGCAGATGTTAGCTCAGGGCTGATCTTCCTCACACACACACAAAAAAAATCACAAATACAAACTTCTGGTTTTAGAAACTCCATCCTGATACATGGGGGAAAAAAGGTGGCAAACATCAGAGCTTAGTTTCTGCTTATGTGGACACACCAAACATAGATTCCCAGGAGCTGGGAAAGGACCCATCTTTGCGTAGACTGCCCAGGGTTATAAGAAGCTCTGCAGGTCATGCAGGATGGAGACACACAAGCATGCATCCTCCAGGCCTTCGCTTCTCCCTCTCACACTCCTTCAGTTCCGAAAGCAGAGCAAGGCAACATGACTTTAGGATCCCTCCAGGATTTGCCAAGTCTTGATCTTACATTTAATCTCAGGAGGCTGTACCATGTGAAACTTTAAACGCTGTTATAAAAGATAATAAACAATGCTGGGTACTGGACCCCACATAGTACTAAAGGAGGCAAAAGCTTTCAACAACCCCCATATCCTCTCAGCTCCCAGAAGAACTTGAAGGGGTTATTGGGCTTTATGAGAAAGTGGGAAAGAAATTAGAATCATCCCTAAAGAACAGAGAGATCACCTTGGGCTAAATGTCCCAGGCCATAGATCCTTCCTTCCTGCTATACCAACACTAAGGAATACAAACTCACGTCTGCACATCTTTCTCTTTTTTTAAGGGACCCTGCTTTCAAGCATGGGTTCTAAAACAGCCCACTGCCCTTGAGGCCAGCAGCGCAGGCAGGTGGTAAGATCAGCTCTGAGGCTCAGTGGCTGATGGGAGGCGCTGGCACCCTGCCGTGCTGTTCCAGCTGGGATTTCTAGGCTGCTTTCCTCTCACCACCATGCTAGAAGCCTTTTTTCCCTTGCATGTTTCAACTGTACTTAAATGGTATAGAAAGAACCTGTATTTGCCACGATACAATCAGTAACCTTAAGGAGGAAGGTCAAATCCAAGACTGCAAGGGGCCAAATGAAGCTTGGGGACCTAACATAATCGGCAGAAACCAAACCCAAAGTGGGCTAGGCCACAGCGCCAGCAGAAACTTTCCTGGAAAAAAGTTGTCATGTGCTTTACCTTGGAGGCAGATAAAATATTCTGGAAATCATTTCAGAAGGTCCTGTGAAACCGAGAGACATTTTAAAAAAGACACACTTTGATGTTGAAACCAGGCGCTCACAGGCAGGACTCACAGGGATTAAGGCTTCAGGTGAGGAGAACACAGTGAGAGGCAATGTGTAGATCACGTTTGGGCACATCCTGCAGGCTCACGCAGCTCAGGGGCCAGCGGTCAGGGCACACGCTTCCCAGGGTAAGGCCCACACTCCTCCTCACTCTGCCACGCGCCACCCTGACTGGGGCACAGGCCACCTCCCTCCCCTGGGCAGCCTCAGGGCTGCCTCCACCGGAGAAGCTGTGGGCAGCCAAGTCCAGCTCCAGGAGACGCTGTTGCTATGATCACAACAGTCTCCAGGAGGCGCTGCTGGGGCGAGGCAGAGACTCCACTCTTCCACTCCTGCTGATGGTCAGGGTTGGGGGAGGGTCCATCGTGACACACTCTGACCAGTCCTCCAGAAGAGGGACGTCCACTGCCCCTGCCAGTCCCACACTGGAAGGTTCTAACACAACTAATCAGAAGAGCCCTGTCCTCCAGCAACACCTGCCATCTGCCCTTACCCCTGCAGGACGGGGAACACCCAACCCGCCAGGTAAGTAACAGTGAACTTCCAAAAGGAAATCGGTACAAACCCAAGAAAAGTGGTGGCCCTACAATCGCTAAATCTAGATACAAAATAATGAAAAGTTAATACAAAACTTCTAAACATGCAACTCTTCTTAAACAATGGTGAATAGTTTGAGTAGTATCAGGGCAGCTTAAAGATGACCTCTGCCAGGTGCCAACAGTCAGTTTCCTGGAAATGACACGAGGGTGGAGGGCGGCACATGATGTGAGAAACGTGGCTTCAGCAAGGGAAGCCCTAGACAGTGGGGAGCATCGGGCAAGAATTCGTGGGGGGCAAATCTTTCCGTGGTCACAGCCGGCGTACTGATGTCATTATTGCTGAGGACATCACCAACAGTCACCCACGAAAGGTAACTCCATACATTTAAAAAAGGGAGGGGATAAAGGAGAAAGATGGAAACCACTTTTATGATTTTTGTGACATGGCCGAGAAAACTCTTTCTCTGAGAAGGGGGAAAATTGGGTGGAGCTGGAACAGAAGTTTTATCTACAAGATTTACTGAATTCCTAATAGTCTTTAAAAATTCCAAATGCAAAATTTCTGTTATTAAATCATTGAAAATAGCATAGATATCTGGTCTTACCAAAAAGGGAAAAATCTGGAAATCTGGACAAGAAAATATTTATCAGTTTCCAAATGATTAAGAAAAGAGTATAGGGAAACCAGGAAAAGATACAAGGGAATGCTGCCCTTTTTCATCCTCCTCCGCCACACCACTTTGGAAAACATTTTGGGGTTCTTGGTTTCATTTTTTTTGTCTAACACATTTTACCAATTGTCCAGAAAATCAAATCCCGTCTTCAAGATGACATTACTTGAGCTGACCTGTGGAAGGGACAAAAACACCAAAGTAAGGCATGAGGGTTTTTTTAGTTATGCATAATCTAAAAACAGCATCTCATTTAAAATGACCCAAATGAAACAGGCTGCTTCCATCTCAGAGGCTCCCTGACCTCAATTTTCCCCAATGCTTGCAACCAGAAAATTAAATAAAATTCGATGCAAGCTACACTCTGCCAGGATCCAACACTTGCCCCGATCCAACCCAGGCATGCGTCTGAGCAGCTTACAGACCCTACTCACAGAGTAAAGGAGAAAAATGTATCATTTCTATTTCTGAATGACAGGCATGTTTAAATTTAGTCATCAGGGAATAAGAGAACAAGTTACAAAGACAGTCCTTCTAATGTAAAACACACACACAGAGACAAAACAAAAAGAATTTGCAAAGTTGAAGGAATGAAAAATATAGGGAAAGGATGTAAAGTTTACTTCTTTCAGATTATGTGGAAGGTTCTGGAGTGATTTTCCCTAACCCAGGGACATTCTGGTTTCCTACCAGTTTCTTAAATGTGGTGGTATTTCACTCCGTGCTTTGTGCTCAGGAATCTGTTCTTTCAGAGGATTTCATGTGCTCTCTCTGACTTCACTCTCCCCACACAAATACTTTCCTGCTTCTTGTACAATTAATACTCTCACATATTTTATATAAACGCTTCCTTCAGAGGAAGACGCGACTACAGAGTATCAGAGAAAGAGCCCTAGCACATCTGTAAGAAGGAGCTGATGGGCAGGGAGATTAGAGATACAAAACAAAGAGAAGAGATGGGGCAGGCACCAGAGGAGGCAGGAAAGGGAGGGGCTGAAAGTGCTGCTTCAGATGGTGGGTAAACCTGAAGGAGGAGGACAGGCTGGAAGGCTGACGTGAAGCTGATGGAAGGTAGAGGGAGCGCCCATCACAGGGTTCCCCTTCTTCAGGAAGACAACTGATGAGGTCATCTGCTGAGACCTCATTCCAGGAAACACCCAGAGGATGACCACAGCTCAACAACAAAAACACACCAATTAAAATTGGGCAAGGAATTTGAATAAACATTTCTCCAAAGAAGATATACAAATGGCTAATAAGCACATGAGAAGATACTCAACATCACTAATCATTAGAGACATGCAAATCAAAACCACAAAGAGATAGATACCATCTCACATCTACCAGGATCGCTATTATCAAAAAAGAAAACAAGTGTTGGTGAGGATGTGGAGAAACTGGAACCCTTGTGCTTTGCTGGTGGGAATGTAAAATGGTATAGCCACTGCTGGAAAACAGTATGGCTATTCCTCAAAAAGATAAACATAGGGGCTGGCCCAGTGGCGCAGTGGTTAAGTTCGCGCACTCTGCTTCCATGGCCTGGGGTTCGCAGGTTTGGATCCTGGGTGCAGACCTACACACTGCTCATCAAGCCATGCTGTGGCGGTGTCCCATATACAAAATAGAGGAAGACGGACACAGATGTCAGCTCAGGGCCAATCTTCCTCAGCAAAAAGAGGAAGATTGGCAATGGATATTAGCTCATGGCCAATCTCCCTCACCAAAGAAAGAAAAAAAAAGATAAACAGAATTACCATGTGATCCAGCAATTCCTCTTCTGGGTATACACCCAAAAGAATTCAAAGCAGGGACTTGAAGAGATATTTGGACAACCATGTTCATAGCAGCACTATTCAACAGCCAAGAGGTAGAAACAATCCAAATGTCCATCAACAGTTGAAAGGATAAACAAAATGTAGTATATCCACATAGTGGAATATCATTCATCTTTAAAAAGGAAGGAAATTCTGACACATGCTACAACATAGATGAAACTTGACGACATTATGCTAAATGAAATAAGCCAGTCACTACAGGACAAATACTGTATGATTCCACTTACATGAGGCACCTAGAGATGTCAAATTCCTAGAGACAGAAAGTAGAATGGTGGTTGCCAGGCGCTAGGGGAAAGGGAATGGGGAGTTGCCAATGGGTATAGAGTATTAGTCTTTCAAGATGAAAGAGTTCTGTGGATGGATGGTGGTGATGGTTGCACAACAATGTGAATGCATCTAATGCCACAGAACTATATACTCAATATGTTTCATTTTATGTTATGTATATTTAACCCAATAAAAATTGTTTTAAATATATGTTAAAAAAAAAAAAAAAAGACAGCCAAGGAGACTGGATGCCCCTAACAAGGAGAAAACCACGTCCTGGGCTCACCCAACAACACGGCAGGCCAGAGCCCAGTGGGATGCACAGAGGTGCGGGACCAGGGAAGGAGAGCCTCTCTAGTGTGCCTGCCCGCCTTGCCAACAGGCCACTTCCCCCGGCTCTAAAATCCGGACCCGATCCTAAAGTACTGGTCACTGGCTGTCTGGGCAGCTCCCAAAGAAAAGGCCTAATATGGTTTTGAGCTGTGACAGCCCTGGGTGCGGAGCCTCCCAGGGGGCTCCTGTGAAAGAAGCAGAACTTGCAGGCTGCATGAGCACTGACGTGTTTGTTTAAAAGCGAGAGCTCGCTCATCGCGGTATGGTCCCATCCCAGGGCTGGCGCTACAGGGGAGCATGCCCAGGATGCCAGGAGGGACCCCTCATGTCTTCTCTCTGGCTGTCCTCATTGGTGAACAGGTTCCCCCTCCCTTCCCTCCCTCCTTCCCTCCCTCCCGCAGGACTCAGCAAGCACTGTGACCCATCCAGAAACGCTCTGAATGCCAGGAAGCATATCTGGGGAAGTGCTGTACATCTCCAAGATGGACGGGACACAGAACCTCATCTATGGTCGCATCCAGGTCCATGAGCAGTCCATGATTTTCCCCCAGAAATGATTCTCACACATGCCTATACCCAAAGTATTGCTTTGTTCATCATAAAACCATGCCTCAAAAAAGGCCTCTCTCTAAAATATGACTATTTATATATTTTTTTGGTTTTGTGTAATCCTCCAACACTAGTTCCATTTAAAGTCATAACCAAACATTTGGTCTTCTCTTTGCTGGCTCAATTTCTTAAGCAATGTAGATCAACTGTAAAGACAATGATCACTGCTCCCACAAAGAAATGGGAGAACATTCAGAAGCAGCTCATGCTATTTACTCTCTCACACAGTCCTTCTTCCCTCATGACACACTCTACCTCACCCAGTGAACCTCTTAGATCTTTCCTTTGCTTCTCCTCCATCCCCCAGAAAGAATTCCCTTCTGTAGGACTCCCTCCTGGACACCTAACCCTGTCCTGCTTGGAAATGAGTAGCTGCCAATCATTCCTTGAAGCAAGAGTCTCCTGTGGTCCCTGAGAACAAGCATGGCGCCACTCCTGGCAGAGGCTCTGGGGTCCCTGCTTCCTCCACATCCCCGTCAGACCATGCGCTGATGCCTTCCTCACTAATGCCCCAGCCCAACCTCATAGTCCCCTCAGGCCAAGCAGGCATCCAAACCCCTCCCACACTGACTGCCTTCTCCCCATGAGTTCCCCTGCTCACTGCCCCCTGCAATTCCTACCCCACCTGCCCTCACACACCTGCAGAACGGCAGTGGGCATCTGGGACATAACTACACAACAGGCAGACAATCATGGCACAGAGACAGACTCACAAAACTTGTCTCCTTGCATATCTGTCAGTCACTGAGCTGAGTAACAATCCAGCAGTCCAGACCCCAAGAGTCCTCTGAGGAACAGGCAGAGGAAAGAAGGAGGAAGGGGAAGGAGAAGAAGACGTGGGCATCTGTGGCCCACCCGTCCTGTGGGAGGTCTCCCCAGGTCACTCCTGGAGGAGGAGGCCATCTGGCCTGAAGCAAGGCTACCCACCTGTGCGGGCATGGGTTCCGAGAACAGAGCATCCTCCACATCCTCCATATCTTCCTGCCTGGCCTCAAGAGAGGGCAGTTTCCCCACGGGCTCGGAGGGGGTGGCTTCGTTCAACATGCTGGTGCAGGCCTGGACAGGCTGGGGTCTCTCACGCTCAACACTGACACTGGAAAGGACACGCTGCTCCTGGCGGAGGTTGTTGGGCCTTTCTGCCTTGACCTCCCTGTCCTTCAGGGCGGGGTCCTGCCAATAAGAGGCAGGCAAGACCTTTTCGCCTTTCTCCATGGACTTGATCTGGCTGGGGGTCAGTGACTGGAACTCAGCCTCGGGCCCCTCCCCCCGAGACCGCTCTGCATTGATCTTCCAAAAGGATGCTTCCTCTTCCTTCCGGGCAGGACCCAGGGCATCCAGGCTGGAGGACTTGCTGCCCTGGGAAGATCGGAGGGCCTGTGAGCCCTGAGAAGCTTTGGACAGTTGCCTCAGCTCGCTGGCGGCGGTGCCGCAGCTCGGCTCTTGGATGGATAAGGAGGAGATGCTGAACTCCATCTGACTCTACAGCCGGGACACAGGAACAAGAGAAAAAAGAAAGCAACCTTATAATCAACTGGAACAGGTGTGCCAGCTCACATCTCCCCCCAACAGCAATAACGCTGGTTGGTTTCCCTTTGCTGGAACCTCCTGTCTGTCCTGAGTGGTTATTTTCAGGACTGCCACCGCATACCTGAAACACCGCAGAAGCTTTGATACCAAGGCCCTGTCACACTCCGAGCCACAAAGAGCTCAGAGACTCCTGAATCTTACTGAAGATTAAGGCCTCTCTGCTTGGTGAGCAGAGCACCCACCCACCTGTCTCCTCAAGGGTGATTCCAGCACCTTCTGAGGAGGAGCTGCCCAGCGGAAGACTGCCCTCTGTGGGAGGGTGATGACAAAGGGTGCACAGCTCAACCTAACACAGCACTGCAGTGAGGGTCAAAACCCAGCCCCACCTCCCGAGCCTCTTCCTTCTTGACCTACAGGGGTGGACAAGGGTGAAAGAAAACCAACAGAGCCAGACCCTGCTCTCCTGCACCAAACCAAGAAGGTCAAGGGCAGGCTTGGGTGCCGCCGCAGAGACGCGAGCCTCCCTTGTCTGAGACTCTGCCTTCACACCTGTTATGGACTGAATTGTGTCCCCCCTACCAAATCCATATGTTGAAGCCCCAACTCCTAAAGTGATGGTATTAGGATGTGGAGCGTTTGGGAGGTAATTAGGTTTAGATGAGGTCATGAGGGTGGAGCCCCTGTGATGGGATTAGCACCCTTATAAGAAGAGATGTGAGAGAGATGATCTCTCTCCACCATGTGAGGACCCAGCAAGAAGGTGGCGTCTGCAAACCAGGAAGAGAGCTCTCACCAGAACCTGACCATGCTGGTACTGTGATCTAGGACTTCCCGCCTCCAGAACTGTGAGGAATAAATGTCTGTTGTTTAAGCCCCTCAGTCTGTGGTATTTGTTACAGCAGCCAGAGCTGACCAAAACAGTGCCTCACTGCAGAGGTTTCCTCTTTAGACCCCCAGGGGACAGGGCACAGCCCACACCCCCACCTGCATCTGCGTGCCCCAGAAATGCTGTCCTGGGTCCGAGGCTGCCAACCACAGTGACCTCAAAACACAGTAGTGCTGAGCTGTTCTGACAGACAGATCATTAGACGGAAATCTAACCCCCCTCTCTTTACAGTATAAGGACACCCTGCAGAACACGCAACTCGCCATCTTGATCATTTCTACAATCAATCTTGAAATTTCTCTTCCTCACTACTTCTATTTCTTCATACACTCCCCTCTTCTTTGTTTTTTAAATAAAAGTATTAAAACTACAACACAGAAAGTTTGGGAATTTGAAGGAAGAAGAAACAAATCATTCATAACCTTCCCATAATCACTACTACTTTTTGAATTTTTTTTTTTTTTTTGCAAGGAAAGATGTACCCTGCGCTAACATCTGTTGCCAATCTTCCTTTTTTTTTTCCCCCTCCCCAAGGCCCCAGTGTATGGTCGTATATGCTAGTTGTAAGCCCTTCTAGTTCTTCTATGTGAGCCGCCACAACAGCATGGCAACTGACAGACCAGTTGTGTGGGTCTGCAACCGGGAAGCGAACTAGGCGGCTGAAGCAGTGAGAGAGTCGAACTTTAACCACTAGACCATCAGGGCTGGCTCTACTTTTTGGATTTTTGTGCAATGTTTTTCACATACATACTTTATGAGGTTGCAGTTCTGCTATGCATATAATTTTGGGTATTGTTTTTTCACTTAATCATAAGCATCATCCATAGTGTTACATGGTCTTTATAACCCTTATTTTTAATGGGTGCAAAATATTTCATCAAGTAGCTGTCCCACCATCTACTTAACCATTTTCTTATTATCAGACAATTTGCTACTTCTAATCTTTGTTGTTATAATTAAGGTTACCACGAACATCTTCATGCACATAGCTCTCCCCCATTTGCAGTTAATTTCTTCAGATAGATTTCCAGAAGTGAAATATCAAAATATAAAAAGTTTAAGCCTTTCTTTTTTTATGGTTCTAGATGCAAACCACCAAATTTGTTTTCCAGGGGCTGCCCAATTTCTAATGCCACCAGCTATATATCAGAGTAGCATTTTCAGTCACCTCTTATCATCACTGAGGATAATAATTTAAAACTGTCTGTGCTCACCTATACACAAAACATGGTTCTTTATTACTTTAATGCATATTCCTTCACTTAATAAATGGTTGACTCAGGTCTTTTAGTTTTTACAAACAGCACTCTCCCAGGACTCCCACCAACGGGCACGGATGTGCTTGCCAGGAAAAGGATGAGAATCTTGCTTCTCCTGTAGAAACTGCAGGCCCTGAACCCAGACAGCCACACATGTTCTCTCAGTCTGAGACTCTCCTCAAAGCCCAGATTCTGACGGCCAGAGGTCTCCCCTCAAGGCTCAGATGAGATGATGAGGCCGTGAAGGATTCAAGTTCAAATCGCAAGCACAGACTGCCTTGAAGCTCACTGTTAAAAGAAATAAAACCCAAGAAAAAGACATCAAAGCTCCGGCTCTGCCAGAGATGCCGTTCGGAACAACACAGATAACTGAGTGCCTCCAAGGCATCAGGTGCATTTTTTTCTTGTTGGTTTTTTTTTTTTTTTTCATTCTACAAATGAGAAAATGGAGGTTTGGTGCAATTGAGTAAATTATCCTAGGTCACTAGTCCATCAGGAGATCGTGCAGCTGGGATTTCAACCTGGATCAAGTGATTCCAAGGCCTGAAGCCGTGCTGGGCATCATGCATATAATAAAAGCCAGCAGCCACCAGGGATGGCGTCCATGTAAACAGCAGAGCCTTGTACAGGCAGGATTGCTACAAGTATGTCAGTGATCTAATCTGATTTTTAAAGGGCTGTTAATTGTTTTTAATTGAGGTCATACTGGCTTATAACATTGTGTATTTTTCAGGTGTACATTACTGTATAACAGTTTCTGTATAGACTGCATCGTCTTCACCACCAATAGTCTAATTTTTATCCATCACCATACACATGTGCCCCTGTACTTTCACCCTCTCACCTCCTTCCTCTCTGATAATCACTAATCTGTTCTCCTTATCTACGTGTTTGTTTATCTTCCACACAGAAGTGAAGTCAAATGGTATTTTTCTTCCTCTGTCTGACTTATTTCGCTTAGTATAATACACTCAAGGTCCATACAAGGTCTATGTTGTTGCAAATGGGACGATTTTGTCCTTTTTTATGGCCAAGTAGTATTCCATTGTATATACATACCGCATCTTTATCCATTCATCTGTTGATGGGCACTTGAGTTGCTTCCACGTCTTGGCTATAGTGAATAATGCCGCAATGAACATAGGGGTGCATAAGTCTCTTTGAATTGTTGATTTCATGTTCTTTGGATAAATACCCAGTAGTGGGATAGCTGGATCATATGGTATTTCTATTTTTCATTTTTTGAGAAATCTCCATACTGTTCCCCATAGTGGCTGCACCAGTTTGCATTCCCACCAGCAGCGTATGAGGGTTCCCTTTTCTCCACAACCTCTCCAACATTTGTTACCTCTCGTCTTATTGATCATAGTCATTCTAATAAGTGTGAGGTGATATCTCATTGTAGTTTTGATTTGCATTTCCTTAATAATTAGTGACGCTGAACATCTTTTCACGTACCTGTTGGCCATCCGTATATCTTCTTTGGAAAAATGTCTGTTCAGATCCTCTGCCCATTTTATTATTTTTTTTGTGAGGAAGAGTGTCCCTGAGCTAACATCTGTGCCAATCTTCCTCTATTTTGTATGTGGGACACCACCACAGCATAGCTTGATGAGCAGTGTGCAGGTCCGTGCCCAGGATCCAAACCCGAGAATCCCGGGCTGCCAAAGTGTAGCACACAAACTTAACTACTACACCACCAGGCTGGACCCCTCTGCCCATTTTTTGATTGGGTTGTTCACTTTTTTGTTGTTGAGTTGTAAGTTCTTTATATATTTTAAAAATTAACGGCTAGTCAGATATACGATTTGCAAATATTTTCTCCCAGTTGGTGGGTTGTCTTTTGGTTTTGTTGATGGTTTCCTTCACCATGCAGAAGCTTTTTAGTCTGAAGTAGTCCCATTTGTTTCTTTTTTCTTTTGTTTCCCTTGCCTGAGTAGACATGGTATTCAAAAAGATACTGCTAAGACTGATGTCAAAGAGTGTACTGCCTGTATTTTCTTCTAGGAGTTTTATGGTTTCATGTCTTACATTCAAGTCTTTAATCCATTTTGAGTTAACTTTTGTGCATGGTGTAAGATAATGGTCTACTTTCAATTCTTTTGCACATGGCTGTCCAGTTTTCCCAACACTGTCTATTGAAGAGACTTTCCTTTCTCCATTGTGTGTTCTTGGCTCCTTTAAAGGGCTGTTTCTGAGTGAACCATTCTCAATACTCTGCATATTTCCATATTCCACAATAGAATACAGGGAGATTGTGGGCATAGAGATGATGATTTCTTTAAATAAGCAAACTGCTAAAAAATAGCTCGGAAGTGGCGACCAAGATGCAGAGAAGAGAGCTAACTTTGATCTGGAAATTGTAGTGTAAGGAAGGCACTTAACACTGAGCACTTTGTCAAACCCCAGGCTTTTTTAGGATCAGCAATTTCTCCAGTGGAGATCTCTGCTTAGAAGCCTCTGGAAGACTAGGCTGAACATTTGTCTATGTGGAGGTAGCAATGGGCCAGGTCAGGGATGCTGGGAAGAGCAGGTAGTCACAGTGGTTCCTGGGCTGCTCCAGGGCCGCTGTTGAAAGGACACCCAAGCAGCACCTAGCTGGACATGACATCCTCGAACAGAACGACACAGGCTGTTCCCACGGCTCCTGGCAACAGCTCCTCAGGGGAGGGTGTCACCTGTTAGAAGAGGGCCATGCTGACAGAAGCAGCTACCTGGTTTGGGGGGCTTTGGGGGTGAAAATGAGGAAAACAGAACTTACAGAAGAAAAGAAGTTCTAGCATATTTGCTTCTAAGTCTTTTTCCCT